TAGGTCGGTTGAAGCCTTAAAATCAGCCAAGCTTGATCGAGAGCCGCCGTCGAGCCTCTCAAATCAGTGAACAACAACGAGGGTACCGCCGAGTTACTCGAAGTCAAAATCTGGGATGTCGTCGAGCTCCCACCATAGGTCGGTTGAAGCCTTAAAATCAGCCAAGCTTGATCAAGAGCCGCCGTCGAGCCTCTTAAATCAGTGAGCAACAACGAGGGTACCGTCGAGTTCCTCGAAGTCAAAACCGGGATGCCGCCGAGCTCCCACCGCAGGTCGGTTGAAGCCTTAAAATCAGCCAAGCTTGATCGAGAGCCGCCGTCGAGCCTCTCAAATCAATGAATGACAATGAGGGTACCGCCGAGTTCCTCGAAGTCGAAATTGGGATGCCGTTGAGCTCCCACCGTAGGTCGGTTGAAGCCATAAAATCAGCCAAGCTTGATTAAGAGCCGCCATCGAACCGCTCAAATCAATGAATGATAACGAGCGTACCGCCGAGTTCCTCGAAGTCAAAACTGGGATGCCGCCGAGCACCGCAGGTCAGTTGAATCCTTAAAATCACCGAGCTTGATCGAGAGCCGCTGTCGAGCCTCTCAAATCAGTGAACGACAACGAGGGTACCACCGAGTTCCTCGAAGTCAAAATCGGGACCGCCGTCGAGCTCCCACCATAGGTCCGTTGAAGCCTTAAAAATTAGCACAACTTGGTTGAGAGCCGCCGTCAAGCCTCTCAAATCAGTGAACGACAATGAGGGTACTGCCGAGTTCCTCGAAGTCAAAATCGGGATTACCGTCGAGCTTCCATCAATGGGCCGGTTGAAGCCCTAAATAGCAGTCCAGCCTGGAGAGGCTGAGCTCATAATATACTCCCTCTTCAACAAGCAACAAATAAAGAAACACATTATCACAAGGGAAATAATGCAGAAGCACCAAAGAGAGGAGAAGAAGACCCGGACGAAATGTCTACGTCTTTACTTGCCTTTGGAAAAGCAACACAGCTATTCCAAAGGACAAGTAAAGAGGGGCAGCTGTAGACACCCAATTTCGTCTAGGGCATACAATCAGCAAAATAAGACATTAGAGGGCCCAAATCAAATTTTTTTAGTGGCCCGGAATGGGCCGTTCCCAAATTGGAACGGGCCGTTCCCAAGTCAAGAACGAGCCGTTCCCAAGTCTGGAACGGGCCGTTCTGGAATTAGAACGGGCCGTTCTGAGACTCCTAAAAGGCCTAAAAATGTTAGGTTGGAACGACCGTTCTAGACCAGAACGGGCCGTTCCAAACCAATGAAAGGGCCTACATTTTATACCATGGAACGGCCGTTCTCAATTCAGAACGGGCCATTCTGGTTCCCCGGAACGGGCCGTTCTGATTTCAGAACGGGCCGTTCTCGGGCATAGTTTTCAGGGACCTCCAAAATTTCGTCCAAAGCTCCATAGAGCTCGAAATTTCTCCCTCTTTTTCTCTCTTTTTCTCTCTCTCGTATTTCTTGAGATTTTGTGAGGCATTGTAGTGTGAAAGGCTGCCACAAAGCACCTAAAATCTCCATAGTTGAAGATCTAATAAAGCTTGTTACGAGGTATTATTCATCAATCCCTTGTTCTATTTTTCTCTTCTTTTATTTTAATTATTGCTATCATAAACGCAATTATGTAGATTTCTTAGGGTTCAACCGTGTAATTTAATTTTTATTTAAATAATCATTAATAAAGGGGATCAAATATTTAAATTATTAATTCTTATTATGTTATCTTCATCATAAGGTACCGATTTAGGGTGTTGTAGGGGTGCTTAATACCTTCCCTACATGTAACCGACCCCCGAACTCAATTCTGGTTATCAAGACCATTATTGGACTTTTAAAAACCTTTTCTTTTTCCAATGTTTTGAGTAAAACATTGGTGGCGACTCCATGAACCTATTTTCAAAACCATTAATTAAGGATTAGTCTGGTGTCTGGGCATTTCTTAATTGATGAGACTTTTAAAAGGATGTCTAAACCATTAGTCGCGAGATCGGAAATTTTCGGGTTGCGACAAGCCACTATAGGAGGATCACTCTTGCATCGCTCCCTGGACGAGGAGATTTTTAGACTCTCGGTGTAGCACTGTCGAGCTGTCTTCTGGTTTGCCTTGAAATAAATAATCTTCCCATCACTCCCTGGGAATTTCATGGTGAGGTGTGGGGTGGACAGCACTGCTCCGAGTTGATTCAAGGTCGGCCTCCCAATGATTATGTTGTAGGAAGTGTTGGCTTGCACGAGGAGGTATCAGACCATAATTCGCCTTGTGTCTAGAGAGGTCCCGAAAGTTGTCAACAGGTCCACGTATCCCGAGTGTGTACTCACTCTCCTGCAAAACTGACTAGGGGCTCTATGTGAGGTTGGATGAGAGAGTGAGGGATGTCTAACCTGAGGAACGTCAGCCAATACAGGACGTCAGCCGAGCTCCCCTAGTCAATCAGTGTCTTGTGGACCTCCCAATTAGCTACCTCCACGGTGATGACCATGGGGTCATCTTGGTTGGGGTTGACGCTAGTGTAGTCATCGTCGGTGAAGGTGATCAGCGGTGAGCTTTGCTGTGAAGCCAAGGTAGTGGAGTGGAAGTTGTTGATATTGTGCAGGTGTCTCTTCCAGGCCGAGCTGCTGGCGCCTCCCCCTGTGAAACCACCTGAAATTGTGTTTATTACTCCCCGTAGGGGAGCTGATCCTATTTCCTAGCTTACCTCGGCCTGCACTGCTCTACCGGCATTTTGCTGAGATCTAGAGGGTTGGTCCGTGCGAGCTCCCGAACCACGACCTCTGCCTCGTCCTCGTCCACCATAGCCTCCTCAGTGACCCTGCTGTCGCTAGACATATTGGCCGAGGTGGCCTGCCTATATGAGTTCCTCAATATGGTCTCGGAGTGTGCGACACTCTTTAGTGGTGTGACCGTGGTTTCTGTGATACCGACAGTGTTTGGACTTGTCCGCACTGCTGGGAGTGTGACCTGGTGGTGGCAGGGTGAGCAAGGTGTTGTTACTGGCCTCCTTCAGGATGGGAAATCTAGGCGTGTTCAGGGGAGTGTAGAAGTCGTATCTCCCCCCTTGCTTGTGCTAGCAGTTTTCTTGAACTTTCTATCATTGGTGACCTTCATCTTATCTTTGTGGCCATTGTCGGGCTTCGCTTGTGATTTTCCGCGAACCTGGTCACGGAAGGCAGAATGTTCTTCCATTTGGATGTACCCAGCAGCACGGGCACGAAGCTCATCCATATCGCGAGGAGCTTCACGACATAGACTTTCGACGAATGGTCCGGGCTTAAGTGCCATGAGCATGGCGTGTAGCGCCACCTCGGGTTTCAGATTTCGGATCTTTACCGAGATGGCAGCGAATCGTTCCATGAACGTCCGAAGTGGTTCGTCGTCACTCTGTCTAAGACTGGCCAGGGCAGCTGACGTTATGTGATAAGGTCGGCTTGTCGCATACTGTGCTATGAACCGTCTGACCAGGGTGCCGAAGTTGTTAATTGACTCGGTAGGTAGCTGGGTGTACCAGTTGAGCGCGGCCCCTTTGAGCGAGGTCCGAAAGACCCTACACAGTATAGCATCCTGATTAGTATAGAGGTTTACCTGTGTGGTGTATAAATCGATGTGTTCGTCTGGGTCTGTCGTGCCATCATAGCGCTCGAGGTGGAGAGGTTTCCAGCCAATGGGGAGGGGCATCTCCATGATGCCATCCACAAAAGGATGACGGAGGAAGGTCGCTTGATGTCCCGCGACGTGGGCAGGAGTGTTGCTGACGTCGTGTGTTGACCTGTTCGTTGGTACGTGAGACCGATGTGTGGCAGGCTTGGGAGTCGGT